CCGGTTGTGGGTCCTGAACTCTGGGCCCAGGCGCTGTCCCTCAGCTCTTCAGCTCAAGGCTAGCGCTCTACCACTTGAGACATAGCACCACTTCCGGCTTTTTTTTCCTGCTTATGTGGTGCTGAGGAATCGAACCCAGGGCCTCATGCATGCAAGGCAAGCACTCTACCACTGAGCCACCTTCCCAACCCCATGTCTGAGACTCTTATGTCCAGTAAGCTACCAAAAAGCTGGAAGTGGAGCTGTGGCACTAGCTTTGAGCAACGAAGTTTAGAGATGGCACCTAAGCCCCAAGTTCAAGTCCCAAGACAGGTACAAGAAAAGAAAAAAAGGGCCCAAAGGGAGTATGTGGGGGCCCTGCGGGATGGAGGAGAGGTGTGGTGTGGTGGTGTCCAGCCCAATTCAGTTTTGGTTTTTCTGGTTAGAGTGGAATTGAGACCTGGGAAGAGCTTCTAAGGGCAGGAGGTGCCGGGCCAGCATGAAACAGGCCGAGCCCCCGGAAGACAGAGCCCGGCCCAGCGCACCTCCCCCCCCTGAGAAGAGCCCCCCAGCTCCTGCCCAGAGTGGATGTGGGGCGGTGGGCAGACTTCCCTGGCGGGATTTGAGGTACCAGGAAGGGCAGGAGGAGGGGACAGAAGCACAAAGCCTCGGACATGGCTTGTAGCCCTCCAGTGGGGGACTGCTGCGGCGGGGGCTGGGCAGGGCTGTCCTGAGCCTCCCTCCACCAGTCTCCTGGGTAAGGCGTGGCGCCCCAGCCCACACCCTCCCGCAGACCCAGAGCACAGAGACGGCTGGAAACTGACATTTTATTGAGACCTCTCCCTTAGAAATCTAGTCCAGTAGATTTTCTGCTGGGCATGGGGGTGTGGCCTGCACTCCCCCCAGGCCCACAGCACCTCCGGTGGCTGCAGTCAGGAGAGTGGGGGCCCAGCCAGCGACACCCCAGAGGTAAAATGAATTTGTCTTTAAAAACATGAAAAAAAACCACCATAGGAAACCTCAGCAGTGACCCAGCACTATCGAGATTAAATATTTAAAAAGTGATCATCAGAAAACGTCATGGAGGAGGAGCCGGCCACCTCCCGGGCAGCATGGCAAGCATTGGCCGAGGGGCGGGGACCGGCCCCGCCCCGCCCCGCCTCACTGGAGCAGCAGCTGCAGGGCTCCGCAGAGCAGCAGCACTGCGGGCAGCATCTGCCTGCGGACCTGGCCAGGGGACACCTGCGGACCAAGGGCAGGGGTGGGGGCTCAGCCGGGCCAGGTGAGCTCAGAGAACCAGGGTGTTGTGGAGGAGGGCAGGGGAGGTGCCCCACGTCAGGGCATGGGGCGGGGCAGGGTCATGCACCGGACGCTCCAACAGAGGAGACGCAGAAGGACCAATGGACCCGCAGATGTGTGCACACGCTGTCCACCCAGTGCTGCCAGGACTGGACAGACACAGACGGACACAGCCCATGCAGATGAGGGGAGGGAGGGACAGGGACTTACCTGGAGGCGGGGGATGGGGGGTCTCCAGGCCCTGATGTGCGCCCTCAGGTGGGCGACCCCACGGATGAGGCGTCGGAGCACTCCCCAGACACCCATCTGGCTGTAGGTCAGAGCCAGGCTACAAGGCATGGAGTGAGATGTGGCCGTTACTGGGGGAGCAGGTGCCCCGCTGTCCTCCCACACCGACTCGGCCCCAGAGTCTCCCCACGGGAGAGCTGGCTTCCAAAGTGTGTTCTGGTTTCTGTCCCTCACTTGCTTCCTGGCCCAGTCTACCCTCAGCCAGCCCCTCTCACACCCCAGCTGCTGTCCCCATGCCTGTCCCTGGGGAGTCAGCTGGGGACAGCCTCTGGGCTGGAGGGCTGGCGCTCCCCTGATTTTGGAGAGACACCATCCATCAGCGTGTGGGGAACAGGGAGGCCTTGGGCCTACAGCCAAGGCCAGGGCCGAGAGTGGCAGGGCCCCTCCCCGGTGGAGAAGGCGGCAGGGCAGGGGTGGTCACCTGTGTATGGCCATCCCCGGCAGCTGGGCCAGGCGAGGACTTCGGAGGCGCTGGTCCATTTCGTCGCCGATGCACACCAGCCACAGGGCCACCTGGTTACTGTGGGGAGGGCACGGGGAGTGGGCCACAGCACCGGCGCGGCGGTGGCAGTTCTGCAGGCTGGGCGCGGCCCACAGAGGCGAAGGGCACTGAGGTGGAGGGGCCAGCCGCACGTCGCCTCTTCCTTCCCGCCGTCCACTGGGGACTCAGAGGCCAGTTCCCTGCAGGGCAGGCTGCAGAGGCTCCTCCATGTCCAGCATCCCTGCCGAGTCCGAGGCCTGCCTGGTGGACTCGGTGGGAGCGGGGACCCCCCCCCCCGCCCCATTGCTGAGGCTGGGCCTCACTTTACGGTCCTTTAGAAAGGGAACTCTGAACTCTGTCCCCTGGTCCTCCATTCTGAGAAAGGGCCCTGCCTGGCTTGACCGTGCCCCCGGGGGCCTGGGGTTTGTTCCCACTCCAGCCCACGGACTGCACGCCAGCTCAGATCCACCACAGAGGGCCTTCGACCTCACCCTCTGGACTCCAGCCCAGCCTGCCCTGGGTTGCTCTTCTGCTAGGGCAGGGGCGGCGGGGGGGGGGGAGGGTGGTGGTGATGGAGGGGAGGCTGCCAAGCAGGCAGGTGGGGGTCAGGCCTGGGGACTCAGGAAGGCGCTGCTCCACAGGCAGGAGTGGAGCCGGGGACAGAGGACACAGCACCAATCCCTGCATCCAGGACCTCAGAGACTACGGAGCCCACAGCAGAAAGGCAATATCCTGACCCTGCTGGGAGCCAGCCATGGACTGAAGAAGTTGCCATAGCTGGCCTGGCTCTTCACTTCCAGCTGGGAACGGGGCGGGGAGCCTGAACTGCTTTGGGTCCTTCATGAGCAAGGGGGCAACTGCACCCCCTGCTGGGGGAGGCCTGGAGGTGGTGCCAGGGTCAGGAAGGCCCAAGGCCGCATGCTTGAGCATGGCAGTGCCACCTGCAGGTGGTCCCTACCTCACCGGGAGGCCTGGTGAGGGGCCTTTGGGCCCTACCTGCCCTCCAGACAGTCCATGGGGTCCCAGACCTCTTCCCCCATAGGCTCGGTGATCGGGAAAAGCCCGGCTGCCGGCCGAGGTCCGGGCATCTGCTGGTACAGGAGGGTCTTGATGAAGAGGTCCCTGGTGACAGACCCGGCCTCCGACATCTCCTCTGGGGGAGAGAGGCAGAGTGTAACAGGACCACAGGACTAGGAAACGGGGGTGGGGGCTCCAAACACAATACCCCAAAACAGGTACTAGGAGCTGAAGGGAAGCAGCCTCAGGAATGAAGCCTTCCCCTGGACTCCATCTCCTGCCTCTGCTCCAGCTGTGGCCACAGAGGTCCCAGCCGCTCTTTCCAAACAGCAACAAGAACTCACCAGACACTGGTGCTCACACCTGTCATCCCAGCTACTCAGGAGGCTGGCATCTGAGGACTGTGATTCAAAGCCCACCCAGGCAGTAAAGTCTGTGAGACTTATTGCCAGAAGTGGGACAGTGGCTCAAGTGCCAGACTTGAGCACAAAAAGCTCAGGGAGGGGCTGGGAAGGTGGCTCAGTGGTAGAGTGCTTGCATTGCAAGCCAGAGGCCCTGGGTTCGATTCCTCAGCACCACATAAGCAAAAAAAAAAGCCAGAAGTGGCGCTGTGGCTCAGTGGTAGAGCGCTAGCCTTGAGCTGAAGAGCTGAAGGACAGTGCCCAGGCCCAGAGTTCAGGCCCCACGACTGGACCCAAAAAGCTCAGGGACAGCCAAGCGCCCATGGCTGGCACACGTCTCTAATCCTACTCAGGAAGCCTGAGATATGAGGATCACAGTTCAAAGCCAGCCCAGGCAAAGCTTGTAAGACTCTTATTGCCAATTAATTAACCAGGAAAAAACTGTGGCTCAGCAAAGCTTGTAAGACTCTTATTTCCAATTAACCAGGAAAAAACTGTGGCTCAAGTGGTAGACCACCGTGTGTGTGTAACTGTGGCTCAAGTGGTAGACCACCGTGTGTGTGTGTGTGTGTGTGTGTTACTGTGGCTCAAGTGGTAGACCACTGTGTGTGTGTGTGTGTGTGTGTGTGCACGCGCGTGCGTGCATGTGTGTGTGTGTGTTGGCTGGGAATGCAAACACCAAGCAAGGTCTCTTGGGGGAGGGGGGGGAGCACAGCCAGGACCCCTCGTGTCTCAGGGCTGACGCCCCAGGCAACTGAGAGCAAGGTGCTCTGCTCACACTAGTGATGGTGGTAACATCGGGCAGGGCAGAGGGGAGGGGAAAAGGGGGGAGGGGAGGTGATGGGATATGTGGTGTGCTCTAGGCTTGGAGACAAAAACCATTTCGAGATGGCATTGTTCTTTCCAGAATTAGAGCAGAGGAATAAGTGCAAAATTTCAACAAAGAAGTGCCTGCTTCATTTCCCCAAGAGAAGGGGGAGGAGCTTCCCATCTGCTCCCCACCCACACCCAGCAGACACCCCCCCAGGACCTCTGTAAACACAGCCCTGGGGGCCACAAAGGGCAAGGGCAGCTGCACCTGTCAGACTACACCCAGGCTGGAGGGCAGAGCGGGCCGCGCTGAGCGGGGCGGGGCCCAGCACACCTGCAGGCAAAACAAGGTCAGAGAAACTCTGTGGCAGGGATGATTTGTTCCAGGTGCAAGACCCGACATGCTGGTCCCAGGGGAGGCCCTGACCCTGAACCACGAGGAAAATGGTGAGAAGTGCATCATGCCAAGTGCCAGACCAGGGGGTGCAAGGGCAAAGCGGGCGGGGCTCCAAACCACCAGGAGGCCAGGCGCACCTGTCTCTCCACCCAGGTGCAGCCCCTCTGCGCCTGCTCGGTGAGCAAACCAGTGGGCAGACACTGCGGTCTGGGAGACTTGAATGGTCCCTGCACAGCCTCATTCTGCTCCAAAAATAGCCACCTGTGGCCGGGGCTTGCCCTAGTCCTGCCTCCACCAGGCCTGCGCTTCAAGGGAGACCCCATTCTGTGTGTGTGGCTCCCCACCAGTCCTAATTGGAGATAAGAGTCTCAGGGAAGCCGGGCACCGGGGCTCACATCTGTAATCCTAGTTACTCAGGAGGCTAAGATCTGAGGATCACGGTTCAAAGCACCCAGGGCAGGAAAGTCCATGAAACTCTTATCTACAATAAACCACCAGAAAACCGGAAGTGGCACTGTGGCTCAAGTGGTAGAGTGCTAGCCTTGAGCTGAAGAGCTGAGGGACAGTGCTCAGGCCCAGAGTTCAAGCCCCACAACCGACAAAAACAAAAAAAGAGCCCCAGGGACTTTCTTGCCTGGGCTGGCTTTGAAACCCAACCCTCAGCTCTCAGCCTCCTTAGTAGCTAGGATTACAGGCATGAGCTACTGGCGCCTGGCTCCTTATTCATTTTTATTTGCATCTACCAGGCCCAGTCCTCTCCCAGAAGGGCATTTGCCCTCATTACACAGACTTCAGAGAGCTATGCCACCAAGCAGCCACCAAAACACAACAACAAACCAAACTGACTGAGCAATGTAGCTTTACGGGCAAAAAGAAAATCAGGAAGACAGCCTTAACCAAAGAAGCGGCTGCCATGCAAATCACATGGCAGAGATTTCAATAGCTGGGGGCTGGCCTTCCAAAGCAGGAAAGGGGATGCAGGGGGGGGGGCGGTGGGCATTTGAGATCGAGCTCCTCCTCTCCTAGTGGGAAAAACAAGCCAGCAAAAGTCCCGGTGCTGGGCCTCACTTGGGGTAAAGGTGGCGCATTTGGCCCCAGTTAGCAGAGGAAATGTTTGGTGCCAGGCCCAACCTCTCAGTCACAGGAGGCCTCTCTGCTGTGTGCTCCCCACCATGCCAGCAACTCCCACTCAAACGTGGGGTACAAAGGGGCCTCCTGAGAAGTGGAGGCTCTGCTTCCCATGGCACTGCCCTGACTGTGAGCTCCGAGGTTTGGCTTGGGGGGGGGCTCCCCATGGCACATGGAGATCACACCCACACTACGTGACATCAGGGTGGGCGTGGAACGGAGGGGCAGGGGCCCCCTCCTTGCTGACACCTCCCAGGGCTGCTGGGATAACAGAGCTCAAGAAATACCTGCCCATCCCCAGCCCCCAGTCCTCAGTGGTTCCTGCCTGTAATCCTAGCTGCTCGGGAGGCTGAGAGCTGAGGACTGAGGCTCAAAAACTGGGGTGGGAAAGTCCTGGAGGCTTATCTCCAATTAACCAACAAAAAGCCACAAGTAGAGATATGATTCAAGTGAAACAGCACCAGCCTTGAGCAGGGGGAGGGAGGGGCGGAGCTAAAGGACAATAATACCAAGGCCCTGAGTTCCAGCCCCAGCGTGCACACACACACACAATAACTAACAGACACCCCCCCCCCCCCCCCGTGCCCAGCTGAGCCTGACTCCTTAGCCGCGTATCAGATCGGCGTTTCTCCCACCTCCAGAAAAACAGGTTTGCTGGGCAGGTTAGTCAATGCCCCCGGGTGTTTTGTATTGTCACATCCTAATATTGACATTAGGCAAATCAGCTGCCCTCTGCCCAGCCCCAGACCGGCCCAGCAGGACAGTGGAAGGGGGAGGGAGGGGGAAGGCAGAGGGAGCCACAGTCTGGTCCAGACCACGGCTGGCTTCCTGGTGGCCGCCAGCCATGGAGCCGGGGCCCTCAAAACTTCCTCCAAACTGCTCGGATTGTTCCTGGCAGGGAGGAAAAAACACACAGACTCTGGCGGGATCCCCAAGTCTGCTATAGGCCAGGCAAGAAACCATGGATGGGGGAGGGGAGAGCTTCTCCTATTCGGTGTGGCTGTAGCTCAGTGAATACAACTCATTTTCCTATAGGTCGCCCAGAGCATCTAGGCGTAGGGTAATCAGCACGTGGCCACCCTTCCCCCACCGTTCTCTTTCTTCTTTTTTTTTTTTGGTGCCAATCCTGGGTCTTGAACTCAGAACCTAGGCTCTGTTCCTGAGCCTTTTTGCTCAAGGCTAGTGCTCTACATCACAGCCCCACCTCCAGCTTTTTGGTGGTTAAAAGAAGAAAAACATGTCTCTTGGACTTTCCTGCCGGCTTCCAGCCATGATGCTCGGACCTCAGCCTCCTCAGTGGCTAGGATGACAGCACGAGCCCTGGGCCAGGTTTCTACCCGCTTTCTTCAGGTGTCCAGGGACCAAAGGCCTGCTAACTGGTGTTCCTTTTCTCAGAGAGCTGGCAGATTAGCGTCAGGACACTGTGTAACACCAGCAGTGCTCTGAAGTCTCTAAAACTAGGGCTGAGGGCAGAGGATCGGTCACAAGGAGAGATGTGCTACCTTGAGAGGGGGGGGTCACAAGGAGGGATACCTTGAGGGGGGAGTGGTCAGGGAGGACCCTCAGGAGGAGGTGGCCACTCTGCAAACACCTGTTAATCCACATTATGCCTCACAGTAACCCTAATGTTCGGAGAACCGACCCTGCCCAGACTGCCTTACCAAAAGGAGCCCAGCTATGGCTGAGGCTGTAGCTCAATGGAAGGGCTGTGCCCACCAGGCCCAAAGCCCTGGCAGCCTCTGGCATGTTGCCTGTGTTAAGTCAAAAGCAAGCAAAACCAAGCCAGTGGCGGAGGCACACACACATCACTGAGGAGGAGGAGGTGGGGATTGAGAGGTCAAGGCTAGCGGAGGCTATTTAGTAAGACCTTGTCTAAAGACCCTAATAGTAGCGGCTCAAGCCTATAATCTTAGCTACTCAGGAGGCTGAGATTTGAGGATTGCGGTTCAATACCAGCCTGGGCAAAGTCCAAAAACCATAAGTGGAACTGTGGCTCAAGTGGTAGAGTGCTAGCCTTGGGTAACTCACACACACAGACCTAACACTGGGGGACTGGGTGACAGAGTACCAGCTGAGACTGCTCAAGGCCTTGAATTCAAAGCCCAGTACCACCAAGAAAAAACCTAACATTGGCAAAGCTCTGGAGAAGCTACAGCGAGCGAGTCAGAACCAGCTTTGGGACGCTGAGGTTCAGAAGATGAAGGTGGATGCCCTTGGCTGCCTGTGTTAACACAAAGGGCACAGAGCCTGATCTGATGGTGGCAGTTACAGTTATCAGATTGGGGGCTCCAAGACTGACACAAAGACTCCAGTTCAGACCAGACCGATGAGACACAGCGACACAGATAGACAGACAGACATCCTGTTTCTTGCCACAGGAGCAGCAACGCTGGCCTT